CCTCTGAGTTCCCAAGGACAATTCTGAGAAAATGTTACCCTGTGGTCTCAGCTGTGCTTTGGGGAGTTGGGGGAGGTGAACTGAGAGGCAGGAGGGCAGACGGAGAGCCACGGAGCTTAGCGGAGCTAGTTAGGGGAGAGCAGGAGGCCAACTCCAGACCTCAGGGGCGGCAGGGGGAGGCCAGACAAGCCAAAAACTGGATCTGCAAGCATGTCCTCGCTCCCGGGGATTGTCCCAAGTCCTCAGGGAAGGAGACCCTCCAAAAGCTGCTCTTCTGGACACCACCCCCTCCCAAAAAGACATTTGTGCACACACACACACACACACACACACACACACACACACACACACATATATATGCATATGCACACACGAGCACACACATACACACACACACACACATACGCGCGCGCGCGCACATGCATGCACACTCACAATCGGTTGTGGTGTGGCCTCACCAGTCTGGGGAGCACTGACAGGCCCATTGGGGGGATTCTCTCTCAGCTCACAGTTAATGACTGCCTGGGCTTCCTTAGGTTTCTACAAAACATATATTTTTTAAAATAAAGAAGCTTTTTTAAATTAAACGATTTTGGTAAAGTCATTTTCTCTCTGGCTTTGTCTGGGGCCGGCAGAGGGGAGACAGACAGGCGGGGCGCCCCTCGCGGGCCTCCCGGAGCCGGCCCGGGCCCAGGCCGGCCCCACCGCCCGCACACAGGCCCCTTCACATTCCAGCCCGCCCGTTTGTTTTTCTAAGAAGGCAGTGACCGCAGCACATTCACGCCGGCTCTTTATGGCTTTCCATATGTATAATCGCTCTTTCTCTCTCCGTTTTTTCCAGTGTTTTTTTTTTTTTTTTCCTTTAAGTAAATGCTCATAAATTTCACTGGCGTAAAGGATGAAAAAACATACCTAAAAGGAGCGGTTTGTGGGGGGAGAAGAACACACGGAGCTGGGTGCAGAGAAACGGCACTCCTGTTCCGCATTATATACCTCAGAAATAAATTTTATTTTGAAAAGTTAAGGTTTTTGTGAAAAAGAGGTTATCCTGCCATATCCCTACAACTGGTGTGTCTGAGCCTCAAGCTTTCATTCGATCGACTTCCCCGCCAGCCCCCGCCATCCTGGGCTGGCTGGGGCGGTCCTGTCCTGGGAGGCAGCCCTGCCTGGGTCCACGTGGGACTGTAAGTTGGATGATCCAGCGGCCCCCCTGTTTTTATAACGACAGAACGAGGGCGCTGGCCTAGAAGCATGTAAAGGACCCTTTCATCGGGAGAGTCCGGTGGCCTGTGATTCAGTCAGAGTCGCGTGATAAATGAGAGCCAAGAAACTGAGTTGGAGGCCCCTGCAGAGCAGCTGCAGCAGACTCGGCCAGCTGCCCTCCCCAGAGCCATTCTCCCTTTCCTCCCGACCAGCAGAACCCCAAGTTTCATTCGGGGAGCACGGGACTCAACTCTAAAGGGATTCCCAGCCTCCTTTGCACCTGGGTGTGGCCGCCCCACACAGTCCCAGCCAGTACGATGTGAGTTTAAATCCGTAGCTGGCTCACTTTTGTTTGCCCCTCGCCTCTCCTGCCTGGGATTCAGTCATGTGACGGAGGTAGTCTAGGGGTCAGGAGGACAGCCAAGCAGCAAAACAGATCAGGCCACGGGCGTCCGGGTCCCCAGTGCATGGAGGCGTCACTGGACCAGAGGGAACTGCCCACTTCAGGTGATAGAAAGAAACCTCCTCATCTGGTTAACCCACTGGGAAGTGGCTTTCTGTCCCATAATGCTAACCCTAGTCCTAACTTGCACTGGGATGAGGAGGAGCAACAATCCTCCAACAAATATTTAGTACCTACTATGTGCCTGTCGGAACTGAGTGAAGATGAATAGCCCAGGCATGGTCCCTACTCTCCTAGAGTCTCAAATCAGTGCTGGAGACAGACAATATAACAAATAGACAACGGCATCCATTAGCCATCATCATTGCTATAGAGGAAATACACAAGGCCTCAGGAAACAGAATACTAGGTCTGCTTCCAGTGGGTGGGCCTGCAAGGACTAGTGAGAAAATGATACTGAAGGGGGAAATCTAAGAAGTGGCCGTTTGAAGCAAGAGGGAGAAGGATAAATATTCTACCCATGCGAAGGCCTCTGGCTGGGAAGGAGTGGCGGGAACTGAGAGGAAGCCCGTAAACTTGGAGCTGGTGAGCCAGGTAGTGAAACAAGACGGGAGAGGTAGGCAGGGCCGGCCACGCGGCACCGGGGGCGGGCTGTATGTTAGGTCACTGAAGGATTTTAAGGAGAAAGTTGCATTCTAAGAAGGTACCCACCCGAAAAGCAGTTCCAGCCCCAACGTTTGTGGGCTATTGGTGATCATGCCTGTGGGCTATTGGTGAAACGCTCCCCGCCCATTGTCCAAGGGGGCTTGGGGCATCTGACTCAGGCTCCCCTGAAGGCCAGTCCCGGTTTGCCACTCGGGAGCTGCGTGCCCTTCTGCCACCATTCTCTCTGAGCTTCCTCCGCTGAAAACAAGGGCGGGGATAGTCCTGCCGCGTAGAGCTGTGAGGGGGCAATGTGTCGAATCCTGTCATGCCTTTGGAACCATGCCTGGCACGTAGGAAGTGCTAGAAACGGGTTTATTATGTTCACTGTCACTGGGAAATCCCCCAGGGTCCAGGGACTCCTGCCTCTAGGGCAGAGCTTCTTTAACTCAGCGTCCCCTGGGTCCCATCCCCACACACTCTGGTTCCGTGGGCCTGGGGTGGTCCAGACATTTGCTTTTCCCACGAGCTTCCAGATGCCACTGCCTGTGGTCTGCAGACCACGCCGCTGCCGTCCAGGGCCAGGCAGCCCTTCGGGAATAGTTTGGAGGACGACGACCAGCCTTGCCCTGTTGCAGCCACCTTCAGCCCTCACGGGCCGTGCAGGGGGTGGGAGACCAAAGCCCAGCTCCCCTGGAAGATGTGTGTTCCCTGTGGGAGGCAGAAGAGCAGGGGACCCGCTTTTAAGGGACCTCGGACCTCCTGGGGCAGATGGTAAAATGCCGAATTGAGGAGTCCACCACAAAGATTCTGCTTCAGCCTGGGGTGGAGCACAAACACATGCATGCTAAGTGACTCCCCATGAATTCTGCTGCAGGTGTGGCCAAAAGTGGTTTTTGTGACGGGGATTTTGTTTTTAGGGAAACCCAAGTCCAGATGTCCCTCAACGACTTTCCATCCGTGTGGCCTTGAACGGTTTTCAAAAACCTCTCCAAATTGTGCTTTCCTTAACTGAAAAATGAGCTTACTAATAATACCAATACTATCCTTCCCGTGAGGACGGAACACAAATATTTATGCAGAGGGCATAAAAGTTATCGTCACAGACTCCGGTGTGCACAGGTAGAACCCGCTTTATTTATCCGGGGTTTGCATTCACTCAGCCCGTGGCCCCATATTTCCACGGCAGCTTTGACATTCTAGATCCGCTCACATCGCTTGAGAAATCCTCCATCTCTTTTGGGAAATTGCGGCCTGAAGGAGGATTCCTTCCTCCTCTGCCGCTGGATCATCCCTGGAGATGATCCTTGACCTTCAGGGGTTCAGCACCCTGACTTTCTCAGGCCTCCACATGGCACCTCTGGACCTGCCCCAGCATCTCCTCAGGGCTTGGCCTTCCTGCCTCTGTCTCGGCCTCCTTACCTGGACCCTTCTCATTTATTTGCCCAGAGTTCTCAACAGCTGCTCCACTAAGGTGAGCCCAGCCGAGTCACTGGCTCTCATCCCCTGCCCAGACCCCTTGCTCAACGGTTGTTTATCTGCTGCTCACGTGTGTAGTGGAATGGGCCTAACCTAGAGTTTTAATCACCACTGATCTCCTCCCTCCATTAACTGGCCCAGCCTCTGTTCTTTGACAGGCTGGATAAAAAGGGGGGCTTGTCCTGATTTCACCCCGCTTTCTTCCTTGTCTGTGATTTATAGTAAAACCCTGTGTTCTGCAGCCTGCAGCGGCCAACCCAAGGATACCCACAATCCTTTCTTTTACAACAAAAAAAAAATCCTTTTTTTAAAATTCGTCGTAACTGGCCCTTATGAATAAAAGTCTTGCTTTCTGCTTCAGATTTACCCAAATCCATTCAGCTCTCCAGTTGACCTCTTGCTTCTTGAGGGTACCTGCCCTTATCTGAGGGCAGGGCGCACAGACCCATTACCGTGCTCCCCAGTGGTGGGGGAAGTCAAAAGGTATAAGGAAGCCTGAGGATGGGGGAGAGAAAGGGGTGATATTTTCTATAAACCCCTTTCTCTCCCTTAATTAAGTGCTTACTTAGCACCTGGCCTGGCCTGAAGTAATTGCTAAGTGCATGACCACCAGGATGATACAGGGAAGAGGAGGAGAAAGGATTTATTCTCTCTGAATGTGCAGTGCTTGCTGAGTTGGCTCTGATAGGCTCTGACTCTGTGTTTCCAAGACTACGGAAGCCTATGAGGGCCCCAGGAGGAGCAGGTCACAGCCAGTGACTTGCTCAGTTTCATTTACGGGGTGAGTGGGATCTCCTGAGAGGGGGCCCTAACCAGCATGGGACATGAAGCAGGAAGAGAAGAAGGCTGCCTCTCTGTGCCCACCTCTCCCTCAAGATGCTGGAAATGCCAACACTGGGGACCCACTCTCAGATCAAACACTGTCCCCTCCGGGGTCATCGTAAGATGTAAATGCCACGAAGAGGACAATGTGTGTGTGAGTAGCTCCCTGGGGGGTGAGTTGTCTGTTCTGAGCCCTGAGAACCTTGCACGAGGAGAAATCCTCCTGAATATCCCGGGGGGAGAAGAGGCTTTTCAAGCTGTCATGGTCCCCTCCTTAATGCTGAGTCCAACGGGACTCAGTGCAAGAGGCCACCGAGCCTATTAAACTTGATTTATTTTCTAAGGGGTCATGGCAGGGTTTTCAGGGAGGGGTGTCTGATTTGGGGTTCAGGAGGAGCCCCAGGCCTTGGGGGGGAGGATGGCCTCTCCTGCTCTGCCCTCGATCATGCTGCTAGTAGGGGTGCCTCAGGATGTGCTTCAAGATGGTCCGAATTGCCATCCACATCTCCTCGGCCGTGGGGACGATCTGCGTGGCCGGTAGCAGGAAGCCATAGCGCCCAGTGTCCCGGAGCTCAAAGCTGAAGCAGTACTTGATGCCACTGTCATAGGCCCAGTCGACAGTGATCCCACTGGCCACATCTGGATACAAAAGGGCATGGAAATGCCCCTGAATGAGGCCACAAGGAAAGTGAGCTTGGAGGCCAAATCCCAACCCACCTCAGACCCGCCAAGCCTCCCAACCCAGGCCTTCACTTGGGCCTCACCCTGCTTACCCAGCCCATTCTTTGCCCGGCAAACCTTAAGACTACTAGGCACGGGTTCCTTGCCCTCCAGGAATGCTACAGAAAGCCAGGCACTGGGGGCCGTGCACTAGTGAATGCTGTCAAGAAACAGCTCCCTGGTTAGGAAATCAGCTCTGGCCCAGCTAGATCTATGGCACTGCCATGACCAACCAGGCCCACCAGACAGCCAAGAGCCTACACCTGCCCACCCCAGGTGGCTGAGGTGCCTGAAGAAGCAGCCAGGGGAAGGATCACTCACAGAGGGTGGTGCTGATGCTGCCGTAAGTGTACTTGACCCCATGGACCTTGTACAGGGCCTGCACTGCTCTCTTGGCAAGATTGTGCTGCAGGATGACATCCAGAGGGTGAGAGGCTGGGGCTCCCCACACCCCACATCCCCACACCGTTAGCAGCTGCTGAGAAGCAGGAGTTAGGAGTCCTGGAAGTTGCATGTGTAGATGGCTCTCGTGAGAAGGGAACACAGAACCTCCAACTTTGGGCTTGATTACACATGAGACTGAGCTCCCTCCTCCTCCCTACCATGAGGTCACTTGGTCCAGACCCTTGTTTCAGAGTGAGGGACTGAGCCTCTGAGAGTCTGCCAGATGCCTCCCCCGAGCCCTAAGTGGCCAATCTCACCAACTCCTCCTGGTTTGAAACGGGCTCCAGCGAGTGGCCATAAGGGTACAAGAGCATCTGAGAATAGCTGTGGATGGAAATCAGAGCCTTGATGTTCCCGTGGGCTGTGATGAAGTTCACAACGGCAGACACCTCTGGCTCCGACTGCGGGTAGGGCCCACGATACGTCTCTGAGCATGGGTTGTCATTAGAACCATTTCCTGGAAGTCCAAGAAAACCACCCAAAGGGTTCAGACTCCCCGGATTGGGAAAGACACTGAGTGCTCACAAAATATTCATCTATTCCTCTACATTTCATTTCCCAGCCTCCTTTGCAGTTTGGTTGAGACCATGTGACTACTCCTGACCATGACCATGTGTGCAGTAATGATGTGTCACTTTGAGTTCGAGGCTGTTAAGAGCAGACATAACTTCTTCACACTCTCTTCTGATTGCGTGTGGTTGGAAGCAAAAAACTCTAGATGGAGGAAGTGTCCTCCATCACCATCGGAGGAGACCTGCCAAGGAGACTCACTGCCCACATTGGACTTTGTGTGCATGAAAAACAAACTTTTATTGTGTTGAGCCACTGGAGATTTGGAGGGGTATTTGTTACTGCTGCATACCCTCGTCTAATACCACACTGCGACTCAGCAATTCCTGTAAGGAGCTCCCTGGGCTGGTCCTTTGGGTACGTCCTGACTGTGGTTCCATTAAAGAGGTGGGCCTGCCTTAGCAATCGCCTCCAGAGGAAACTCTAGGTCTTCACCCCCAGCTTCCCCTGCGAGCAATGTCCCCTTGAAGCTGGCCCTTCATTGCCATCCTGCCATTGCCATGGGGAAGGCTTGGGTCAGTTGAATGCTCCAACTCAGTGTCTGCTCAAGCTGTGCTGCAGCTCCAGCCCCAGGAGCCACATGGACTGGGGGCCAAGAAAACAGCGAACAGATCTCCATAGTTACCCGAGACTGGTCTGGGAACCACAGACACAACAAGTCTTTGGAATGTCTTCTTGGGGACCTGAATTCCGGGAGAGGGCAAAGGAGAACTCTGCCTCTATTTTGTTCACAAATTTAATTTGTCCCCATCTCCTCCTAGATTATTTGCCCGCCTCCTCTCTCCCTCCTATTTTGTTTGCCTTCCTCCCAAAGGGCCATGCTGTGGAGGGCTGGGCTGGGCTGGGCTGGTCAAGATGTGTGGGTTAGAAACACATTTGGAAAGAACCACCCCAGTTTCTCCTCTCTCGTTTGTTCATTCCCTCCTAAAATGACTACACACAAGCCTGGTCCAGAGGCCAAGGGTCACTCCAATATCTGGAGCCTCCTGAGGGTGCCAGAGCACCCTTTTTGACACCCCAGGGCAGTAGGCTGGCTGGAGAGCTGGGGGCTGGCCCATGGACCAGTTCAGATGCTGCTCTAGGACTGCAGCAAGCTGCTCCTCTCAAGAGTGCAGGTGAGGGCGGCGTGTGGGAGGGATGATGTGCAAGATTACTCATCACGCTGCAGTTAAATTAAAGTAATAATAAAAACCATAACAAAATCTTCCTGCCTGAGTCACCACCCCAGACACACTGTTATTCCTGGCCAGAGGCAATTCCATCACCGGAAGCGCATCCCCTCTTGGCCTTCGGGTCCTCACCTGGGGTGGGGACCCACGCTGGAAGGGATGTGCTTGCAGGGAGCAAGGGCGTGAGGAGCAGCCCCCCAGCTGGAGGCAGCCAGCTGACAGGGGCCCTGATTGTTGTGTCTCCCAGGAGCTTCTGCACCTGCTACACTTGATGAATGACAAATAGCAACAGATGAGCAGAGCGGGGGAGGCTGAAAGCTTTGTCTGCATTCACAGCCCACGCATGGAAAGCCGTTCCCCTGCCAACGACCAGGTGGCTTTGCCCAAATATGGAGGAACACTTCAGGCCATTAGTTCTGGTGTGAGCCGAGCAGAATAAACTAATCTTCCCCTGACCAAATGGGAATTCGCTGCCTGCCTCTCTCTGCTGCTCACAAAGCCCTCTGAGCCGCCTGCTTCACAAGTACCTGCTAATGGATTCATTAGCTATTTATTTTTTTCCTTCTCTAAAAATGTAATTTGTAGCAAGGGGAAGTCTCTGGAAAGGCATGGTAAATTATTAAAAGCAGTAATCTTTGAGTAGTGGGATTATGGGAGCTTTTTGTCCCCTCAGGGCATTTCCCCTCACACACATATATATATATATATATATTTTTTTTTTACATTATGTGTATATTGATTTTTTTTTTCCTGTGGTGAAACAACAAACATTATTTTTCTAAAGAAGTAATTTGTCTTTCTAGCCAGTCCATCTCAGGGTCTGTGGGCACACACTTCAGCTGGTTCCAAGGGACAGCATGGATGACTGCTTGGGGCAGGTGTCAGGCCATTTGGAGGTGGAAATGCCCGATTTTACACAGTTGTGTTCCCTTACACAGGCCGCAACACACAGCCTCGGATCTCAGGAAACCCCCACAATGTGGCCTGGGGGGGAAGAGGGGGTGCTTCTCTCTGGATGCTTCAGAGCTGCCCTTACTTTTCAATGAGATCCAACTCAAAAAAGCCAGGTTTTTCAAAGGGGCGGGCATCCAGATCTAGAATGTTCTCTCTCATTGCTTTAGCCGCCCGTCTGAGGAAGAGCTTTTTTAACAGCAATGGCACTGTATCCTGTGCAGCCAAACCCAGACCTCCCCCCTCTCCCCAGCATGGTGCGGGTGCCACATCGGGGGGCCAAGGGCTGTGGTCATGCAACCTCTCCTCTGGATACGTCCTATCTAGACCCAGCTTCCCACCCATTAACGCGCTGGGTGGCCAAAACCGGTTTCACTCAATGGATAGGGCATCGACCTGCGGACTGGGAGGTCCCAGGTTCGATTCCGGTCAAGGGCATGTACCTTGGTTGCGGGCACATCCCCAGTCGGGGGGTGTGCAAGAGGCAGCTGATCGATGATTCTCTCTCATCGATGTTTCTGTCCCTCTCTCTTCCTCTCTGTAAAAAAAAAAAAAAAATCAATAAAAATATATATTTTAAAAATTATTTAAAAAATAAATTAATAAAAATAAAAAATAAAGCGCTGGGTTCCCAGGTCCACCTACTCATCTCTGGGCCTCAGTTTCCTATCCAGTCCCGATGCCCCTGGCACGGTGAGGGAATAATCGGGAAGAATACCAAGGAACTGGGAGGAAGCTGCCCACCCCTCCCCGGACTCACACAGTTCAGCAGATAAAACCCCCCCCCCCCCCCCCCCCCCCCGCCATCAGCTCAGGGTTACAAAGTAATTGGGTCCAAAATAAAATAATAAAAACAGGCTCAAGTGGTATTAATGATAAGGAACTGGCTTATTCTGTATCTGAAGTACTGTTGATAAGGAATTGGCTTGCTCTATATTGTTCTGGTCTCCCCAGAGGTCACGGCTCTCAGGAAATGAGCTTGGAGGCATTTTCTTGTGGCCGGCTCTCCTGGAGGAAGGCTCGAGGCAATGCAGGGGCGTCATAAACTCTGAGCTTTACACAACCAGCCAGATTACCTTGTACCCCCTTAGGCCCTTCTCTGCGTATTTTGGATTTGATCCTTGCCGCTGTGCGGTCTCCGTGTTTCCTGTGAGGGCTTAGCCCACGTGTACGTTTCCCACACGTGTGCAACCTGCCCCCATGCCTCCCAGCCAGCCCCAGGCACGCGCCTGCCTGTCCCTGGCCATGACTCTCTTGCACGAGCCAAATGCATCGCCTCTCAAGGTAAGACGCGGTAATCGGACTGTGTGGGAGCCCCCGGGCCCGCAGATTGCCCTACCTCCGAAGCCTGACCTCCAGTTCCTGTTAAGATCCACACCAATGCAGGAGACTCCGGGTTGGTCAGACCTGTTCTTCCGCCACAAGCGGTTCTGAGAAAGCCCAGACGATGACCGTTACTGAGCCTGCTCCCGGGGTGGGAGCCCCTGGCATCCCGGCCTGGGGAGGAGGGTCTGGGGGGGGGGGCAGGGAGGACAGAGTGAAGGAATCTCTAGGGCAGGAGCAGGGGGCCACGGGGCTGCACCAAGGCTGCCGTCAGACTCTTTGCGGTGAAAGCCTGGGTGCAAGAGGGAGGTGGCAGGACAAGGGCTGCGGCCTCAGTCCTGGGCAGCCCCCCTTCCTCGGTGAGACTCTGCAAGGAACCCGAGGGGCAGGCTACCCCACGGGAACCTCAGCTCAGCTTCCCAAAGCAGAAGTGACCGTTCCTCCCCCTCCCCCAAACCCCCAGAGCCGCTGACCCCCTCCCTCCCAGGTGCCCTCACCATGCTGTGGGTGAAAGCAAAGCCATCGGGGTTGGAGACGATCTCCAGGAAGATGTCCATGGTGTTCAATAGATTGGTCAGGACACAATCTTTGCCATATTCACTGACAATCTGCAAGAAAAAGCAGAGTTGGAGAGGGTGGCGGGCGGAAGGCCCTACTGGGCTCTCCTCTGAGGGGAGCAGGACATTTGCACAGCCAGCGGCTGCAGGCAGGGAGGACACCAGGCCATCAGGTACATCCTTCGTACAGAAGAGAAAGGCCTGGATTTTAAGCAAATAAAAGGCAGAGGCTCGGTGGGAGCTCTGTGCTGCAGAAGACCAGCTGGCAGCTGCTCCAAAGGGCAGCGAGCACCCTGAGCTTTAAAAATCCAAGTCTAGTATTTCGTCGGGAGGTGCCCTTAAATAATCAAGCAGCCCCCGCCCCCCGCCCCAGCCCCCATCCTCCGTCCGTGCTGACCTGCTTGGCGGTCCAGATGCCGGTGGCATGGGTGATCCACTCCCGGGAGTGGATTCCAGTGTCGATCCAGACGGCCTGGCGCTCAGAACCTCCTCCGGTGCTGAACTGGGGGGAAGCACCGGGACCCACACAAGTTTGCACGGAGACAGCCACACGGCTGTCCCTGGACTGCCTGGAAGGAGGCCCGGATGCATCCTCACCGCCCGGGGTGGTCCTAGATGCCCGCGATGGGGGGGCTGTGTGTGCAGATTCCCGGGCGTGACCCCTGACGTGCACACGTGCTTGAATCCTGGCCGCACGGTACTGCTCCGGGCGGGCGGAGGGATCAGGCCAGAAGCACAGAATCCCCCAACCCCTCCCCACCTGGAAGCATCGCAGACACTTCTGGTGCTTCTTCAATGCTAAAGGCACGAGAGTCCCCGGGGAATCTAACTAAAATGCAGGTTCTGAGGGGAGGGGTCTGAAGTGGGGCATTTCTAACAAGCTCCTGCCGATGCTGCGGCTACGGGTGCAGGTGCGGGTGCGGGGACCACACTGAGCAGCAAGGTTTCCGACAACTGAAGGCAGGCCCTGGGGTGAGTCACCGCGGGGACAGACAAAGGCAGGTTTGAGGTTGGGTGAGATCCCTTGGCCTCCAAAGAGTCCCCGGGGCACTGCGGAGAGCGGCAGCGCCTGTCTCCTCTATCAAATGCCCTGCGCGGCCCATGCTCCTGAGTGCGCTGGGCGGCACCGGCTAAGGAACGCGTAGGTTCCATGCTCTACTCGGTCCTGCCTCCTTCATGACCAAGGACACTGCCGCTGCTGAGGCTGCATAAGTTCTGTTTCCAAGAGCCCTTGTGAAGGGCTGGGGGAACCCCCACAGATTCAGGTCTACCCGTGGGGCTGCCTGAGCCAGGTGACCTCAGTCGTTTGTAAATGAAGCCTCTCGGTAGGCACCTCTCTTCCCATTTAACAGATGAAGTAACTGCGGAAACAGCAAGAATGCTGACTCACCCACACTCATATCCCGAATCCAGGGTGGTGCCTGCCACTCTGCCAGTCCACCTTCGTAGCAATCCTCCCACCTACTTCCTGGCCCAGGACATGCCAGGCCACCACACTGTCACCTGTCCATGCCTACAAGGGCGGGTCTCTGATTACCGCAAACCCAAAGTTTATGTGTCACCTCAAGACAGGAGTATACACACCTTCTCTTTCCCTAAAACTTCCACCCAGCCCTGGCCGGTGTGGTTCAGTGAGTTGGAGTGTTGTCCTATGCACAGAAGAGTTTCATGTTCAATTTCCAATCAGGGCTCATGCAGGAGGAAACTGATGGATGTTTCTCTCTCTCATTGACATTTCTCTCTCTCTCCTCTCTCCTCTCTCTCCCTCTCTCTCTCTCTCTCTCTCTTTCTCTCTCTCTTTCTTTCCCGCTCTCTGAAGTCAATGAACACATCCTCGGGTGAGGATTTTAAAAAATAAATAACAACCTCCCATCCAGCCACAGTCCCACATGAGTTCCATCTCATGCCAGAGTCTAGTGGTCAACACTGCTAGCCCTTACCTTCAGGACAAGAATGGATCTATTTTCAAAGCTGTGGCCAATCTGAATTTTCGAGACAATATCTGCATGCTCAGTGACGAAGCTATCAATCCAATTATATATCTGAAAGTAAGGAAGTTCCTCAGATCGCAGTTAAGTAAGAAGAGGGTGAACCCCAGAACCTCTCTGAATAGTCTCCTTCTCCCATCCCACCCTCCTTACTACTTTCCCACCTCTCATGAGGATCTGAACGAACCCAGATCAACAACTAAAAGAAGACAATCTCCAGGCCGAAGGCAAAAGGCTGTGGTTGGCCTGGGTTCTCGGGCTTCTCACCGCCATGCAGAGCGAAGACTTTGCCCAGAAGACCAGTCTATGCTGACCCTCCTCAGTGCTTCCATTCAGTACATTTGACAGACCTCACAGACCTGGCAATGTTGTTTTTGGTGACCTTGCTACTTTTGGATCCTAGGCCACTTGAAAGCAGGTTGATTTATCTCAGATATCGGTAAACACCGATGGGCTATATTAATTCGTTCTCTTAATCTTTCACTGTATGTCATTGAATTAACAAATATGTGAAAGAACACAGATCCTCCATCGCAGGCCTTGTGAAGGGGAAGAGTGAAGACGAAGGTAAATAAAGTGGACCAGCCGGGACCGGTTTGGCTCAGCGGTAGAGCGTCGGCCTGCAGACTGAAGGGTCCCGGGTTCGATTCTGGTCAAGGGCATGTACCTTGGTTGTGGGCACATCCCCAGTAGGGGGTGTGCAAGAGGCAGCTAATCGATGATCCTCTCTCATCGATGTTTCTAACTCTCTATCCCTCTCTCCTCCTCTCTGTGAAAAATCAATAAAATATATTTTTTAAAAATAAAAAATAAATAAAAATAAAGTGGACCGATAATGTCACACCCTCTCTGTGGAAATGGGAGCCATGCCTTGAGTTAGTTTCTTCTGAACTCTCCTCGCAGATTCTCCTTCCTAAACAAGTCACAATCAGTCAAACCTGCCCTAAGTGGCTGTGACTGATTAGGAAGGCAACTCTGGTCTACAAAATGTCTCTCCCACATGCCTGGCTTCCTGCCCTTTCTACACTCTAGTTCCCACTGCTGGGACCATTCAACACCAGGAGTGGTCGTGGTGAGGTCAGGACCCCTGAACCCCCAGCCAGAGCTAGATAGGAAGGTGCCTCTACCTGCTCCAATCTGGCCAGTGGCAGGTCCTGCCTTAGTGTCCCACCTCGTAGACCATCACTGTGGTCCAGGACCCGCCATGGGCCGGCTGTTAAGCTGTGGTCCCTTCATTCTAAATCCTGGCTTCTGGATCTCAGAAGCTGCCTGCCTAATGGACCTTCGCCCAGTATCTGCTCCACACTCCCCAACTGCCAGTTCCCGGTCTCCCATAGACCCCCGAGTCCTTCACTAGCCTCTGCCAGAATCAGGAGACCCTGAGGAGCCACAGGGAAAACAGAGGCCTGAGCCTGGCCTAGCAGACCTACCTCCTCCAGGGTGTGGTAGGAGGAGTAACTGAAGCTGCTGGCGCTGCGCTCCAGCCGGCGGGACCTCGCCATGGCCTCTCTCTCCTGGTCCAGCAGCACCTAGGGGACGGGAGCACGTGTCGGGAGGGAAGGGGTGGGCTGGGACAGGCGCGCCCCATCCGAGCACGGCCTCGGGTGGCTGTGCACAGAGACAGCATCGACACAGGAGAATGAGCCACCGTGGACACACGCTGCGGGACAAGAGAGGACGCGGATTTCTGGGAGACTCTTCTGCGTGACTCTCTGGTGTTCGCGATGCCCATTTCCCAGACAAGCACAGGGCACAGAGCAGAGAGCAGGTTCTAAGTCTGCCACTGCTGCCCACTGGGGGTGGGACCTTGGCCTTTGTTTCCTCGGCTTGATCGCTGGGACAGCAACACCTGTCTTGCCCATCTCATAGGATAAAATGTAGTCCTGGATGTGAGTGTGTTTGGGAAAAGACGCTCATGTGCTACTGCCAGCATTGCTTTTGCCTCTGTGAACATTCGGTTGAGCTAAGACCTGCACTGAGCCATGAACGGTGACCCCATGGGGAGCAGAGGGCTCCCCAACCCACAACATCCACTCTACCCCCAGGAAATGGCCTAGGCAATTGGGGTCCAAGCCATTTAGAAAGCCAGCCCAAGGCATTATGGTGAAAGGGCCAACAGACTTTCACTCACCATCTTAACTTCCCCTTAATTATATAATTAGATATAGATATAAATATAGGTAGAGCCCTAGCCAGTTTGGCTCAGTGGATAGCGCATCAACCTGAGGACCAAAGTGTCCCGAGTTCGATTCCAGTCAAGGGCACATACCTTGGTTGCAGGCTCCTTCCCTGCCCCGTCCCTGCTCAGGGCTCATGCAGGAGGCAGCCAATCGATGTGTTTCACTCACATCAATGTTTCTCTCTGTCTTTCTCTCTCTCTTTTACTCTCCCTAAAAATCAGTCAAAAAATATCGTTAAGTGAGGATTAACAAAAGACAGATAGATAGATATGATATATAGAGATAGATAGAGATAAAGATACAGATCTGTACACATAGATATGCATGTATACATATAGATATATCTTTGTGTCTATGTGTGTGTGTACAAAGAGAGTGAGGGCAAATACAGTATGTAAAATGTAAACAACAGGTGAAAAGTCCATCCTATTATTCTTGCGATTAAAAGGCGTTTTAAAATAATGAGAGAATGACATCATGAGCCAAGGACAGCAAGACACTAAAATGCCAAGAAATATATGAAAATGTTAGCAATGGCTGTCAGGATAGAAGAATTATTGTTTGACACAATTTTTTTCTTTTCTCTGCTTTTGCATTTTGGCAACATCCTTATACTACTCCGATAGGTAAGATCTTCTAAGCCAGCGGTTCTCAACCTTTCTAATGCCACGACCCTTTAATACAGTTCCTCATGTTGTGGTGACCCCAACCATAAAATCATTTTCATTGCTACTTCCAAGCTGTAATTTTGCTGCTGTTATGAATCGTTATGTAAATATCTGTGTTTCCCAATGGTCTTAGGCGACCCTGCTAGCGGTTCTCAACCTGTGGGCCGCTGCTGTAGAGCCTAAGATATTTACATTACGATTCATAACAGAAGCAAAATTACAGTCAGGAAGTAGGCAACGAAAATGATTTTATGGTTGGGGGGTCACCACAACATGAGGAACTGTATTAAAGGGTCGCGGCATTAGAAAGGTTGAGAACCATGTTCTAAGTGAATAAATAACACTAAAATTAAAACAGAAAGCCCTAATGAGAAAATACCAGCGGGCTCGCTCACCACCTTGCTCAAGCTCACAGGTGAGACGAGGCCTGGAAACCCACGTGTGGGGCTCATCTGATTGCCCGGTTGAGCATCGACTTCATCTGAGGCCATTGTGCTCGCGGTGCTTCCTGCCGGGATGGCTTGGCTGAGGACGGTGCCCGCTGGGCAAAGCCGGGCTGCCGTTGGAGGAAGGGTGGCGGGAAGGGTCCTGACCCTCCCTGGCATAAGCACCCCCCGGGAAGCTCTCACAAAAGGAATTTGTCTTCTTCCCAGGAAATGAACGGAAATCTCAGCAGCCCCCCGTGACCGATGTGTGTGTGCCGGGCACTGAGCCGGGCACCGCCAGCTCTGGGAGCAGCTGCAGGGGCGAGAGCAGGCCTGCCCAGGTCACCGGAGTCAGGGCCCATCCGTCCCCGCTCGGGCCCCAGCGGATAACGTTAAAGGGGCCATAAGTCTGGCTTTCTGGGGACTGGTGGGGGGAGGCCCAGGCGGTGGGGGAAGGAGCAGGACAGGGAGGAGACGCTGGAAAGAAAGGGACAGGGGGCCCCCCTTCCCACACAGCCCCGGGACCCCCACAGGAAGACAGCTCCCACAGGCTGTGCTTTGTTCTGCACAACAGCTTGGAGGCAAATGGGAAGTCGGCAGCAAACTGCAAATATCTTTCCAAATACCCTCGCAGCCCTGTGAATGGATCTGACTCCGCTCACACACTGGGAATGCTCCGCTGGGCCCCAATTCCAGGAACATTAATCTGCCCTGGCCCAAGAAAGACACAGATGTTCGCTCCCCTCACAGGCCCGGGAAGGGGGTGGGGGGGAAGGGGATGGTAGTGGGGGGTGAAGAATGCAGTCTTGCCGTGGGCTCAGGAATGCCTAATCACAGCCCTGTCAGACTGCTCTGAGAGGAAGGGGAGAGAGAGAGAGAGAGAGAGACCTCAGAAGGCAGCCATTTGCCTCCCTGGAAGCCAAAGCCTGACAGGGAAAGTAATACCTCGGAGTGAATTAATTTATGACCGGAGAAAGGAAGGATGGGGGACATTAAGCAAGAACAGCACCTCCAGGAAGAGAGAGGGGAGGAGACTGAGGGCCCCCAAAAGGGAAGCTGACAGCGGAGGGAACTCGCTGGGCAGCGGGGCCGGGACCGCAGACGTGAAATGGACACAGCTCATAGAATCGGGGGGTAGGGGTAGGGGAAGGGGGGGCGCAGGAGAGGGGCCCTGACCTGCTCTGTAACCAGAGCAGTCCCTCTCCTCAAGGCCTGCCCTGCTCTTCCAGGCCTAACGTTCGCACTAGCAGCTACATGGCGGGTGGAAACTGCAGTCCATGCCTGCTCCGGTGGGTGGGGGGAGGGGGGGTAATAGGTTGGGGGTGTTAGAATGGACCCCTGACAGATCAAGGTGAAACTATGGCATCCCTGCCCGGAAGGCAGCTTACAACAACACACAAACAACAATGACAACCTCTGAGGAGGCAGCTGGCACGGGAGCGAAGGGTGCCAGCCGGGAGCAGCTGTCTCACATGAGATCCGGACGCTCTCACGGACCTGGACAAGTTCCTGATGTCCCTGCCTTCATTACAAGGGGGTCATGTTATCACATACTTTTGCAGACGTTCTCATGAACATTAGGAGGGTTCATATGTCTAACATGCTTAGCACATTGCCTAACATACAGAAAATACCAGCTATGCTAACAACCGTGACAATGACAGGACAAGAGTAACTCCTGGGGTGAGTCCAGGACTCTGTGACAGAGCAATCACGGCGAGGCGTGACCGGGAAATCTGGATTCCTCCCACGGGGAGTGGTATGTGTGGGACTCAGGATGGCAGAGCACGCTCATGAATGGTCCCTGGTGTGAGTCAGTGAGCACCTGCTCCTGCCGAGGATTAGTCCTTCTGTCCCTGTCCCCTTGGTGCAGCCAGACTCCGCCTCTCCCTCAGGGCCTTACCCCGATGGCCTCCTCCTTCCCTTGTCTTCTCCTGCACTCATCCCTACCTATACTCCTCTCCTCTTTATGTATTTATCCTTTTTAATCAATTTTTTTAAGCCTCACCTGAGGATATTTTTCCATTGATTTTTAGAGAGAGGGAAAGACAGAGAAAGATCGATGTGAGAGAAACACTTCTATTGGTTGCCTTCTGTACGCACCCCAACCAGGGAAGGAGCCTGCAACCAAGGTACATGCCCTTGACCGGAATCAAACCTGGGACCCTTCAATCCACAGGCCGATGCTCTATCCACTGAGCTAAACCAGCAAGGGCCCTCCTCTCCTGCCCCCCACCCCCAAGCCAACAGCATTTCTGCTTTAGAATCTCTTCCAAACAAGTGTTTGTTGAACACACTGCACACTAAAGAAATGGTAGTCTAATAGGGGATACAGACAATAAGTAAGTAAATTACACAGGATGATAGAAGGCAGTAACTGTCAAGGAGAGAAATGATGCGGAGGAAGGAGGGAGGGAATTGGGGGAGTGTGGAGAAGAAGGGTGCATTTTAAAATAAGGTGAAAAGGTGACATGTGAATAAGATTTGAAAGCAGTGAGTGAATAAGCCAGGCAGATAACTGCAGAAACAGCATTCTAACCATAAGGGTGTGAATCTAGTCAGGAAAGGGTCAGGCAAGTTTGAGGTACACCAAGGAGGTCCGGGTGTATGAAGCAGAGTGAGCAAGGGGAAAATAGTGCAGAGTGTGGGACTCAGATCATGTAGAACTGGGGTGGGGAACATCTGGCCCTTGAGCCACATAAGGCAGAGAAATCATTTGGTCTGGTCCTACCAAGGTATTAGGGGTGAGTTACTTAAATGTTTGACCAAATCTAGCAGGCTAATTTAAATATATATTTTTATTATTATTAATTTCAAAGAGGAAGAGAAAGGGAAAGAGAGAGAGAAATAGCAATGATGAGAGAGAATCATTGATTGGCTGCCTCCTGCATACCCCACACTGAGGATCGAGCCCACAACCAGGGCATGTGCTCTGACCAGGAATTGAAGCATGACCTCCTGCTTCATAGGCTGATGCCCAACCACTGAGTCACGCCAGCCAGGCAAGCAGGCTAATTTTTAAGTTGATTATTTTGTTTGGCTCACAAATGATGTTATAAATATCCAAATGGCCCTTGGCACAAAAAAAGGTTCCCTACCCTTGATAGAACCTTAAAAGTTCTTATAGCCATTTGAAGGACTTTGGCTTTTACTCTGAGTTGGGATGGCCTTGAGGGTTTTAAACAGAGGAGTGCTATAACCAGACTTGAATATTTTTAAAGGATCCATGTGGTTGCTGTTTTGAGAGACGAGGCAATAAAGCCTTAGTCAGTTTTCTCAGTGGTTAGAGTATCGGCCCTCAGATTGAAGGGTCAAGGGTTCAATTCCAGTCAAGGGTGCATACCTCAAGTTGCAGGCTCAATCCCCATCCCCAGTCCAAATCAGTTGGGAGAGGCAACCAATCGATGTGTCTCTCTCACATCGATATTTTCCTCTTTCTATCCCTCCCTTCCACTCTCTCTAAAAAGATCAATGGAGAAAATATTCTCAGGTGAAAATTAACAATGCCAACAACAACAAAAAGACTAGGCCATCAGGAGATAAGGGTGGGAATAGGGAGGCCAGCTGGGAAACTACCCAGGAGAAAGCTGAAGGAGTGCTGGCCCAGGTGGCAGCAGAGGGATTTGCGGATGGATCAGCTATGGGAAGGGAGAAAGGAGTCCAGCATGACTCCGACAATCGAAATAGAATTTCCTGAGATGAGAGCTTCCTGGGGGGCCTTGTGAAGTCTGAGCTGCCAGTAAGGCAGATGAGTCTGGAGCTCAGGTGAGATATGAGTCTGGCTGGAGCTGTGAATGTGGGAGTATTCAGGAGGTTGAAGGTACTCAATGCCATGACCCTTGGCCTTGAGGGGTCAGCGAAGAGGTCAAAGGACAAAGCTGGGAAACAGGAAAACAACCTGCAAAGGAGTAGCCGGTAAAATGGGCGACCCAGGCAGGTTTGCCCCACAGGAAGTGGAGAGATGGTGTGATAGCTGGGGAGGGAGCAGATAAAGGGAGGATTGTTTTTTAAGGTGCCATAAATAACTCTATATCTGTAAGCTGATGGGAGTGATGCAGTAGAGAGGGGGAATTGGTGAAGCAATATTTACACTAAGTTGTGTTATGCTCTGGATGCTCAGAGCATGGGTGATCTTTGTTGTCTCCTTTGTGCTTTTCCCTATTTTCCAAATTACCTAACATGAATATTTATTAATTTTGTAATCAGAAAAAAAAGCCATTAAAATCCACCGAGCTGATTGCTCAAGTGAAGCTTCTCTGCGGTGACTCATCCGCAGGAAGAAAAAAAAAAACAACAACAACAACAACCCAAGGGCTGACAAGAACCAGGAGGTGAAGAAAAATTAAATGCAAATAGAGCTCACTCAGAATCAGATAATTTCTTGCCTGGCCCACTGCAATTTCCTCGCCGCCTTTCCTCCCTCCCCCCCTCCCTGCTCCTGTCCCCAACTCCATATTGGCACTGTCACAGGGGTTTTTCTTCCCTGCAAATCTGACCGTGTCAGAGACCTCCCCTGGCTCCCTCACCCGTGTGGGGGATAAAATCTTGACCTCTTCACCCCGCAGAGGATGCCCTTTGTGATCTGCACCGGCCTCCTCGCCAATCTGGGGCCCCCTTCCCCTCCCGGGCCCCCCTCCCTGCTCCTCAGCCACACCGTAATTACCGCCTTTTCAGAGCAACTTGCCGGGCCTCTTGTCCCTGCTCCCATAGCAACCTGCTCCACTCCCTCCTTGCTCTTATCCACTCCATTGTAATCACGGATTCCCTCCCTCCGCTCCCCGCCCCCACGGCGCCGGCTCCCCGCTCCCTGGATACAGACCCGTCCTCATCTTTGTGTTCCCAGCACCTTGCCCCATCCCTGGCACACAGGAGACATCGCTGTGTCTGTGGGTTGAATGAATGAATCTGCCTCTTCTATGTCAAGCATCCCCTCTGATCACAGGCATGTGAGGATGGGGGCGAGGTGGGGGGGAAAGACACTTCCCTCCTCAAATCTCCCCAGTGCCTCTGGCCAAAGGGAAAGCCTGGTTCCATCAAGCAAGTTCACCCTCTGTCCTTTCCTTCTCCCCTGTCTGCTAACTCAGCTAGCACTTACTCAGCCCCAGCTGGTAGGTGCCACGCAGGCCCCAGTGTAGGTTCTGGGGCATAAGGATGGGTAAGGAGCATGATCCTGGGCCTGGAGGGGCTTGGGGGAAGAGGCGTCCCTCTGCCAGAACCTACCAACAGAGCGAGTCAGCACCCAGTTGTGGAGGGCCCACCACGCAGGAAACACTGGGCCAAAACCCGGGGCTGAGAAGACCCAGAAGACAGAGGAAACCAGGCCTTGGCAGTGTTAATAGCTGGAACATCAGCCCGGAGGCCAGAAACCTGAGCAGCGCAAAGCCCTTCCCATCCTGTTAACGCCTCTGAGCTTCCCTCTGCCCAGACACCTCTCTCCTTCATCTTCACAAATCACCCCGGCACAGCAGCCTCCCCCCCCACAGCTCCCTCCACTGGACCTCACATCTGACAATCAGGGCTTGATGTGTTGCAGACCGAGCCAGCGAGTTGGTGAAAATCCTGCCTGGCTAGGCTAGTCCTGAGAATCCTGGGCATTTTACTGAAAATGAATAAAAATCCCCCCCATAACCCGGAGGGTAACGGAGGCTGTGGGGTACCCTGGGCGGAGGCTGGGACTACCTCCAGGGACTCTAGAACTGGGAACCACAGTGAAGGGGGTGGGGGTCGGCAGGAGGAGGTTACAGACTGACAGAGAGAGAATGGACCCGCTTCAAAGGAGCTGGGGGGAAGGGGGGAGAGGCAGGGCTCAGAGGTGCCTCTGGAGCTAGTCCTGATGTGCAGAAATCCACAGGAAATTTTGAGAGACCTTTTCGTATCTGTTTGCCAAATGCTGCTGCGGGGTTTCCAGGGTGGAGAAGGAGCAGGGGAAATGCAAACTTCAGAATGCAGCCTGGGCCACAATGGGAACTGAGCACTGGCTGCTTCTTTTGATGTGGTGGCCTCTCCTGTCTGTGGGAGTTTCCCCATTTTTTGTTTGTGGGGATTTAATTAGAGAAATAGCCCACCCCCCACATGTTGAGCGGGAAACAGATGTGCCTGATGAGGATGAAAGTCTTTGAATGGACCTACGTGCCCCTGGCCCTGGGCTCGCCTGGGAAAGGAATGCCGCCTAATGCGTTTATCCCCCGGCATGTGGTGTCAAGTGTGTGCGCCGCGGGAGGCTCCGTGTTCCCACACTCCGGGGAGGAGGGATTAGCGGCAGCACGGCCTGTTTGGGAACGAACCTCTGGGGGTACAATGCCACAGGTACCCCACAGCCTCCGCAGAGGGTGCCCAGCACATGGCTGCAAGAAGGAGGCCCCTGGGAATGGAGGTCCTTGAAGACAAAACAATTGAAATAGAATTGCACAGTGTTCAGAAAAGACCCTGGAGTTGAAACCAGTTTGGCTCAGTGGATAGAGCGTTGGCCAGCGGACTGAAAGGTCCCGGGTTTGATTCCAGTCAAGGCATGTACCTTGGATGCGGGCACATCCCCAGTAGGGGGTGTGCAAGAAGCAGCTGATCGATGGTTCTCTCTCATAGATGTTTCTAACTCTCTATCCCTCTCTCTTCCTCTCTGTAAAAAAAATCAATAAAATATATTAAAAAAGAAAAGACCCTAGAAGGGGCAGCCACCAAGGGGGGTGTAGGAAGGAGACTGTGCCCAAGATGAAGTCTCTCCTTGCCGAACCCAAGGGCCCTGTCTGCAGCCACTTCTTCCCCAGCTCTTCCCCTGGGAGAATCATAACCAGGCGGAGGGGCCTCGGACCCTGAGCCCTGATGTGGAGTGGGGCAGAGCAGCCACAGCAGGACTCACCCTGGGCTTCTCTGGGAGGAAGGGATTCCCCGGGGGTGGCTGAGACGCCACAGGGACCAGAAGGCAGTCAGAAAGCGAGGGGGGCCTCCAGGGCTGCCGCTCCATGGGGCCACACAAGAGCCCAAGCTACCTCCTCCGTCCTCTCTCCACTGTGAGCCTCATCGGGTCTTTCTTCTCCAAGTGGAGCCCGAGCCAGACGGGCAGCGCGGGGCGGGGCCTCACCTGGATGTCCTTGATCATGACGCTGTAAGCAAGGCCGTGAGACTGCAAGTAGCCTTTGACGTCTTTCAGCGCGAAGAAAGGCACCCTCATGTCCACGGGGAGGCTGGGCCTGGCCGGGCCACGCCAGAAGTCCACCTTGTTCACAGAGGAGAGGAAAACGGGTGCCTGTACCACCCGTCTTTACGCACGGTCCTGCAGGCACCCTGGGAAACCAGGTGGTCTGATACAGAGAGGATAGGGCCCCCGTGCCCTGATGAGAACCCTGAGGCCCAGCAGAAAGAGGCACAAACATAAAAACTCTGCGGGTCACTGAGTTTCTGTCCCAGCGTCAGGGCCCCTTCATCCCCCAGGCTCACACTGCCCAAAGAGCCCAAAGCACCCTAACCCTAGCCTAACCCTAACCCTAACCCTAATCCTAACCCTAACCTAACCCTAATCCTAACTCTAACCCTAACCTAACCCTAACCCTGACCCTAACCTAACCCTAACCCTAATCCTAACCCTAACCTAACCCTAACCCTGACCCTAACCTAATCCTAACCCTAATCCTAACCCTAACCCTAACCCTAACCCTAACCTAACCCTAACCCTAACCTAACCCTAATCCTAATCTAACCCTAACCTAACCCTAACCCTAACCTAACCCTAACCCTAACCTAACCCTAACCTAACCCTAACCCTAACCCTAACCCTAACCTAACCCTAACCCTAACCCTAACCTAACCCTAACCCTAACCCTAACCTAATCTAACCCTAACCTAACCCTAACCCTAACCTTGCCACAAGAGGGACAGGTCCTCCTCCAGAACATGGACGTGAACAAGAACTCGATCAGAAGACAGAGACCTCACTGCCCCCAGACTTAGAGGAGGGGGCGAGGCCTCACTGGAGTCCCAGGCCATCTGAATGCCACATCCATTTTCCAATTTATAAAATGGACGGAGTCACTATAAGGCCTACGAGAGTGGATCGGTAAGGGCACTCACACAGATCGGAGTGAGGGCTCCGGGCCACATCCAGAACTATCTGGTTGTTCCCACAGCCCTCAGACAGAGTCTTCTATTACAACCATCGATGGAAATGTTTTCCGTTGTGGAATACTCGCAGAGGACAAATGTTCTTGGAAACGAGTGCTCATCTGACAGGGACGAGCCCAAATAAAACACGGGTTTGCCAAGCGAAGCCCTCCCAGTTCTTCCAATTGGCAAACAGGTGCATCCAGTCTGCGTGCTGCATGGCATCCCACCCAGAGACAGATGTGCCCCCCGCCCCGTGTGGCCTCGGGACATGTCAGCGGCATCCAGAGCGGCCCCCACACAGGTCCCCTCAGCAGCCCCATCCAGGGCAGAGGGGAAAGCCAACAAGAGCTGCCCAGCCTTGTAGGCGAGTGCTCCCAGCCTTTCCTGAAGAGGAGCCACCGCTGACTTTTCCATGGTTCTGTGATCTTGGCAGAGCCATCAGAGAGCAGATTTGGGATTTGGGGGTGTGGGACCCCAAAGGTGCAAGCAGCTGTGGGAGAAGGGAGAGCATGTCCCCGAGCCCTGAGCAGGCCTCACCTTCTGGGGCTTCAGCCCCTCCAGCTCCCTGAGAAGGCGAAGCTGCTTCTCGTCTTTAGCCAGGACTCGAAGAACCTGGTCTCTGGAAAGACATGGGGGGCGAGGGGCAGAGGGAGCTACTGAGAGGGGTTCCTGGAAGCCTGTGCTGCTCGCAGGAGGCAGCGTGGAGAAGACACCAGGCTGAGGGGGCCTGGTAGGAAGGCTGTGGGCACCTGGCCACCCGGAGGCTGGAGGACTGAGCAGGACTGAGCTCTGGGAAGCATGCGAGTCCTTCATCCTGGGGTCGGAGATCTCTGCCGAGAACAGACCGCCCGGGGACCAAATAAAGTCTGTGTGTGCTACGAATGACCCTAAGGACCAGGCCGGGAGAGAAAGATGGGGAAGGAATGAGGGGGATGGAGGAAGGTGCGAGAACGCGAGGACTAAAGGGAGAATGGAATGGGGTTCTAGGATACTGGGGTTACAGGGACAAACGATGGCCCACGTGCCCTTCAGACAGCTGTCCCAAGGCCATGGTCTGTCCACACCCGGTGCCCAAACTTCTTCCTCCCAAGAGCATGGGGACATGGGAGGGGAGTCAGCCTCACTCTGCCTTCTGGGGAAACTGAGCTCCCTCCTGCCCACTGGAGGGAATGGGAGGCGGTGGAACTGGGCAGCCTACAGTGTGACCTCTAGGGTCTGATGCTGGGATGGCCTTGGCTATGTCCCTGACTGGCTCTGAGACCATGGACAGTGGGCCTGCTCTCTAAGCTTATAGCTTCCTCTCTAGCACAGGGTCTTTGAGAGGTTGGGCAATTGTGTCCTTACTGGCCTGGTGTAGAATACTGGTGCTTGTGTTATTTAAAGGAGGATAATCCTACATCCATCTGTGGTAGGGTGTATAGTCTTTTGGGGGTTACTAACTTCTTTGAGAATCTGAGGAAAGCTATGAACCCTCCCTCGAGGAGAAAAAAAAATACATACACCAAAAATTACGTATGATTTCAGGGGTTCTTAGATCCCTAAAAGCTTAACCCAGGAGCCCCAGATTGAGATTTCTGGGTTTGGGGCCAGACAATAATACAGCCCTGTGTCCTAGCCTTGAGCGCGGGAGCGGGAGATTTCAGAGTTGGAAGCGGGTTCAGGGTGAGAACCCAAGTCCTGACTCTGGTCCCAGTGGACGGCCACCTCCCCACTGGGACACCCAGTCCCCAGCGCCTGGCGTCCTCCCTTCTGCTGCGGAGCAGCCACTCACCCTGTGAAATTCATTTGGCCCCAAGCTGCTGCCAGGAGAAAGCTGCAGACCAGGAGCGTCCGTGTGTCCACCGCGGGCAGCCCAGGGCCCAAGCCTCCTGCCGGGGCGCCCTGCATGCTCCCTCCTCCGGGCGAGCTTCAGGGGCTGGCGGGCATGGCCGAGGCCGAGGCCACAGGGCAGCCCAGCAGCTGGAGGCCGGCAGCCCGGCCTGACAATGGGCGGTGGGCCCTCTCGGGGAGGCCCAGCCACACACTGGCGTTGGGAGTGCTAAGGCGCCCTTTCCCACTGCTAGGCAAGTCCTCTCCTGGAAAGGGGAGAGCAAAGAGGGGAGGAGGAAGACAGGGCCCTGGGCTTGCTTTCTTCCCCAGAGGTTTACTGGGCCAGCGTGTTGTGAACATCAAATCCACCATCTTGAAAGAAAGAGAAGAGTAACTAGAGACCCAAGGAAATCACTCCCTTCCTCCCTCCTCATTTTAACCCTATCCTTTCTGCTCTCCTCCCTCCCCTTCCACTCACACTTTCCCGGGGCCATATCCTCCTTACACATCAGGGTGTGGACGCCATGGAGAGAACTCTGAGTTTAGAGACAAAGACCGGTGCTCACTTCCTGTCTAAGAGAGTGGGGGCAATTGACTTAATCTCTCTGAATCTCAGTCTACTCATCAGTCATATGGGGATAATTACACCTCCCTTCCCTACTTCACAGGGTAATTTTTTTTTTTTTGGGGGGGGGTAGGGGACATATTAGCAGAGACAACTTGGGTGCATTGGCTTGGCAAAGCCTTCAAAATGGAATCTATTATTATTTCAAAGGCGCTAACTCTTAGCCACCACTGCATCTTAGGTCAGTACTCCAATTGCAAGGGAGAAGGGGAAGAGAAGAGAATGGAGAGGGGAACAAAGGAAATGCATTGTATGAGAAGGAATTCAGTGGAGAGTCCCTTTTCTCTGCCTTCAGGTGGTCCCCATTATGCTGGGGCAGGCAGTGAGCTTGCTGCCAGACAGGAAGGTCCCTGCAGTCATTATTATAGCTCTCCACAGACAGCAGAGTCGATTTCTCGGTCCCGCTAAAGCCCCGCGCAGCCCCCTTTATGGTCTGGCGATCGTAGGAATAAAACAAGAGGCCAGCACACAAAGCGGTCATATTGGAAGCAGAGCCTGAAAGATGATGCCTGAATGGTAAATGATGAATCTAACAGAAAATCCACAGGAGGCAGGGGAGAGGCAGAGGCGAAATCCAACCAAGTTGTTCAGCAGAGGATGTCAACAAAAGGCCACTTAACTGTCACCAGCCATTCTCAGCAGCCCCCCTCCCCGTCCGTACCTTCCCAGAATGGCCAATTAACTGGCCGTGTGTGCAGAGAGGGGAGCTCTCTTACGGACAGAATGCCCTGCTCCCGCACCCCGCTGGACCTACTCCATTATTTCGTGGGTCAGCTGCTCAGACAAGCCAAGCTCTCCTAGAACCCTGGCTCTGGGAACTCCCAGACAGAAGCATTAGCAAAGGGTTTAAGGGCCTTAAAAAGAAAGAAAGCAATTACGCTTTCCACCCAGGTAACATGCAGCGTTAGTAGAAATCGGAATAAAAGAATGTTTTAGTAAACAACAGCTCAGAGATTGAAAAGAAAAAGTGGGAATAGTGCTAGTCACCCAAAATACCCAGCATCTTCTCGTTCAAAAGCATCATTTTAAAACACTAAAATAAAATAAAAATAAAATAAAATCTATCCCTGTGCGTGGTTTGGGGCCAGAGAGAGAGAGATCAAGAGCACGAGAGAAAGAGAAAGAGACAGGAGCCTTTAAGAATTCGCTAGAATTCTGTGACAGCACTTCCAATAGAACTTTCTGTGATAATGGAAATGTTCTCTGTCTTCGCTATCCAATAGGATAGCCACTAGCCACTAGCAACTGAAGAACGGAATTTTTAATTTTAATTAATTTTAATAGCCACAGGTGGTAATGGCTGCCGTATTCACAGCACAGTGCTATGGGAATTCACCAGCCCTAAAACACTGCCTCCGATGCTGGATGTAAAGCAGAAACACAGCTGTGTTTGATCTGATACCTAATAATGGTGTCTTCCTCAAAATTAATTACTCATCTAATCATTTATGCAATAACTGTCTACTGAATACCTACTCTGTGCCAGGCACTTGCTAAAATCTGGGAATAAATAGTCGTGTAGACCTGGCCCTTAGATTTCTGATGGGGTAAGTAGAAAATTAATTTAAAATAAATATAACAAGAGAATCCACCCATCTGCAGGAGAAAATATTAAAAAAGAATTCACTGAATCCTTTCCTACTAGAAGAATATACCTCGGATTTAGGATCATTTGCTTTCTGCTTGAAGTATACTAGTACCTTGTTAAACATTCCTTAAGTGAAATTCTCCCTTTTGTCTGAAAATTCTTTATGTTGCTGGGTTTCAATTCTAGGCTGATTATTATTTTTCTCTTGGCATGTTGAAAACATCCCACTGTCTTCTGGCTCCCATGTTTTGCTGTCAAAAGATCACTGTTTACTGCTCTGTGGTAGGTGATCTTTTCTTATCCCTGGTTGTTTTGATGACCGCTTCTCACTGATGTCATGTGGTTTTATTTTTGTGTATTCTTCAGCTACCCCACAGTATGCCTAGGTATAGATTTCTTGAGTTTATTCTGCTTGAGATTCATCTGGACTCCTGTATCTGGAGATGGCTCTCTTTCCATTGTTTTCACAAGTTTCTCAGTCGTATTTTTAAACTTTGCCTCTTTTTCATTCTATCACCTTCTGGAACTTTTTATTAGATATGTTAAGTCTCCTTATTCTATCCTCCAAATCTCTTAATCTTTCTGCTATTTTTCTACTTTATCATCTCTCTAGGCTACCTCCTGGATAATTTCTTTGTATCAAATATCTGTTTCTTTTTTATTATTATTATTCAAATATCTGTTTCTTTTTTATTATTATTATTCAAATATCTGTTTCTTTCTTCGTTAACTGATTCTCCCATCAGCTGAGTTTAATCTGTAACTGAATCAATCTGCTAAATTTTAAATTCCAATTTCTACAGTTCATCAATTCTGAAACATCCCCCCCCCCCATATTTTAATACATCTGAACTCGGTATGTATCTTACAATGAGTGGCATCTTGCAATAATCAGTGGCAGTATTTCTGATGGCTTATAACATTCTGGTTTATCTTAATCAATTGTGTTTTACAGTCAACACAATATGGTATTCCTTTTCACAAGTTCCATTTGATTTTTTTTTTCCAAATCCAAATGACTTAAAGTTCTTATCTATTTTAGAGCCCCTTGGCTGTTGCCTTAAATCTATAAAATATAATTATTTTATATTCTATGTCAAATAATTACAAAATCTAAAGGCTTGGCGAGTCTGCTTAGTATATCTGTGGTGTATTGTTTCTGCCGGTTCTTAATCGCGCCTCATTGTTTCCTGTGCCATTCATCCGGGAGTCATTTTCTCTGGACCTTTGTCTATAGGAAGCCTCACGGCCTGGATCGAAGTGGAATTCTTCAGGGAGGAATTGCATTTACTTTTGTGAGCTGCCTGGGAGGCACTGCCAACCGGAGACCAGCCTAAATTAAATTATTTGCTTGAGTTTCAGTGTGTTGTTTGTTTGTTTTTTAACTACATAGTTAGCACAGATTTAGATCACAAACTCATGGGCTGAGGGCGGGTTACTTGTTATTGTGAAGTCTCAGGGGATATTTTCTTCCCACTCACCTAACACCAAGATTTTAAATCCTGGGCAATAGTAACATATTAATTGCAATGGGTAATCGGAGTTAGTGTTTTAAGATGCTGGAACTGTTAGGAGAAAAGGCAGATACTGATAATTTTCTAGACTTTGATTAGTTTGCTAAGTTCAAATCTGCTAGAATAAGAACTAAAAGACTACAAACAGGTAGAAAGGATAAAGATGAAAGGAGAAAAGTGAGTGGGAGAATAAAGGAAAAGAAAATGAATAAGAAAGGTTTAAGAAGAAATTTTTAAGAGCAGACAAGTAGAAAGGACATAAAAAAAAAAAAGAAAGAAACTCACCTAAATCTATATTCAATAGTACTAAATGTAAAAGAGCTTAGCTCTCCAGTGAAAGACAAAAAAATATCAGAATAGGTTTTACTTTATAAAACCTACCTATATGTATTCACAAGAGATATGCCTAAAGAATAAGAACAAAGAGAAACTTAAAGTCAAAGATGGAAAAAGGATATTCTGGGTAAATGCTAACCAAAAGAAAGCAGGTGTGGGTTTATTAATATAAAATGAACTTTAAGGCAAAGGCATTATCAGAAGAAATAAGGGAGTTATGCATAATGTTACTGCTTTCAACTTCCCAAGGATATCTAACATAGAAAAATATTCGAGAATAATTCTAACAGATAATGTGTAATCCTTCTGGAAGACAATTATAAAACTTTATTGAGAAATGCTAAGATTCTAAACAAATCTAAAGATATACTATATTTTTGTATAAGAAAACTCAATATCATAAAATTATACATTCTCCCTATATAGATCTTAAGATTCAAAGTAATGCCAGTCAAAAGCCCAACAGTCCCACAAAACTTCACAAGTTGATAAAAACATATCTTCAAATATAAAGATCCTAAGAGTCAAGACAATCCTGAAGAATAATTAAGTGGGAGAGCGTTCTATACCAGACAGTAATATTTTTTAAAATATATTTTTATTGATCTACGAGAGGAAGGGAGAGAGAGATAAAGCATCAATGATGACATATTATAGAATCATTGATTGGCTGCTTCCTGCATGCTCCCTATTGGGGACTGAACCCGCAACCCAGCCAGGTGTCCTTGACCGGAATCAAACCTGGGACTCTTCAGTCCGCAGGCTGACTCTCTACCTACTGAACCATACTAGCTAGGGCAAGACATTTTTATTTTGTCTTGTTTTTTGTTCATCCTTACCTAAGGATGTTATTTCCATCGATTTTTAGAGAGAGTGGGAGGGAGGGAGGAAGGGGAAGAGAGAGAGAGAAACATTAATGTGAGAGACACACATCTATTGATTGCCTCCTGCACTCGCCTCAACCAGGTAGATGCTTGTGTTGGGAATAGAACCTGAGACCTTTCAGTGTCCACAC